AGAAAACGTATACCTAGATTGGCTATTTGTATTCCTGCAATACGTGCTTGATTCTGTTGTGCAACAGTTTTCCAGTGTCTACAAGCATTTGTCTCATATGTAAAATCATCACGTACTCTTATTAAGTCTTGATTAAGAGCATTTGTACGATCTAAAGATTCTCCAAGTAATGTCTGCAATCCTTCTATCTGATTTAGTTAGTCTACACCAATTTCTTGCATTAGAGCAGCTTGACGAATAATTTCATCAAGACTTTGAGTGGTAGCATTAAAGACATCATCTATGTCTTGTGGAATTGGAATCCTATTCCGATCAAAAAATAGTCTAATCTCAGACACACAATCTGCAACTGCCCGTCGGCGGTCTAGTATTCTTAGAATAGGATTGAATAATTCATTATCTTAATCCATTTCTATCTTTCCTTTACATAAAGATAATTCTTGAATGCGTTTTTTGAGTTTATCTACTGTGTCTTCAAGATGAATGATACGTTCATCCTGGGCAACAAGTGCCTCTTCCTTTAACTCTAAGTGATCTCGATACTTTCCAAATTCAACTAAAGTGGACTGACACTCTGCCTTTAACTGATCGATCTCATCATCACGTGAAACAAGATTTTTTTCAAGATAGAAGATATATCATTCACATGCCTCTATATCCTTTGTGAGTTTACGGATTTTCTCCTTATTGGAAATATTATTTGTTTCCTCTAATATCAACTCTTTACGTAAAGCAAAGTTGCTATTTAGCAGATCAAGATATGCCTGTTCAACTCCCATTGATACCTATTATTAAAATAGATTCTGATGAAGCACGAAATGTAGAGGTGACTTAGACTTTATGCAGAATATTTTATCAACCATCTGGATATCAGAGAACTGCCAAAAAATTGTATGAGACATCACAAAATGCTGGATATGATTTCACCTTAGATGAAGTGCAGGATTGGCTTGAAAGACAGGCAGTACATCAAGTCCACAAACCTCATCCCCGATTTATCCCTCGTGTAAGTTTTAGTTCTATACAAGTTCCCAATGAAGTTCATCAAGCTGACATTTTGTATATGCCATATGACAAGGTTGGAAATGTGACTTATCTTTTCTGTCTCAATATAGTTGATATAGCATCGAGGTATAAAGAAAGTGTCCCTATAGGTTCAACCAGTGTTAAAGATCGACAGGGAATCCTAACTTCTCATACTATTGCTCGGGCTTTTAAAAAGGTATATGATGATACAACATGTCCGCTCACTTGGCCAAAATTATTGATTACAGATAGGGGTTCAGAGTTTAAAGGTGAGTGTGAAAAGCTGATGACTTCCCATGGTGTAAAGATTCAGAAGGCCAAGTCTAAGCGTACTGTTGGCATTGTGGAGCGATATAACCGTACCTTAGTTGAGAAACTATTTCCCTCTCAAGATGCATCTGACTTACTAACTTTAGGTAAAACAAGATCTCGAGTCTGGGTAAAAAACTTACCTATTGCTGTAGAAAGTATAAATAACTCAGTGACCCAACAACTTGGTATATCTCCTGCTGTAGCTATAAAAAAATCACGAGTATCTTCCAGATCTTCTTATCCTCGTGATGGACCTGTTGGGTATGAAGAGGAGAAACTACCACCTGATATAAGTGTAAAGTACTTACTTGAACCAAATGATCTGAAAGGTGGAAGACGTCGAGCAGGAGATATGAATTGGTCACCTAAGATTTATCATATCCATATGTCTTTAACACAGAAAAATCAACCAGTTTTGTACTGGCTTATTGATGATGATGGTAAAGAATCAGAGAGATCCTTTGTGAGGGAAGAACTTTTGGTTATACCAGATGATACAGAACTTCCACCACAATGGGTACTTATGAATTAAGATAGTCTTCTACCTCATCATCTGCTTGGGAGTCTGTGAGGAAGTATTCTTTTGCCAATTCATAGTATAACCTGTATAGCTTATTAATAGCAGACAAAAGTTTTGGATCTCTGCTATACCAGGTCTTATAATTTTCCAAGATTTGCTGATACTTTGTCTCATTAGGTAGAATAGATTGTGCTGTTTCAAGAACAAAATTTTCTGGTTCTTCTGCTTGACGCAATTTGATTATCCTTTGTTTGTAACATAACATGAATTTACCATCCTTTGGTTTCTTGTAAAGGATGCCTGCTTTAATTACAGCAATTAGAGCTGA